AATGAGTTGTGGTTGCCTCGTGAAAGTGCTTCCTATATCAACTTCCCCAGTATGAGTTTGGCCTGTGGCCAGAGCAGCAGAGAAAGAAGCCTCTCTGTGGTGCTTTCTCATGATCTCTCTCTCTCTCTCTTTATCCTCCCCCGTCCTCCCACCCTATCTCTCCGTCACTCTGATTTTAGGTACTCTAAGATGTTCGACCCTGCCCGCTGGCTGGAGATCGACCCGTTAAGTGGTCAGATTTCCACCATCGCCATCCTGGACCGAGAGTCTCCGTACGTCAAGAACAACATTTACAACGTTACCTTCATGGCGTCTGACAATGGTGAGACCCCCTGACCTTTCATGGTGACAGAGATAGTCATAAACACATAGCTATATTTAGCCCATATATACCCTACATACACATATGTATATATATTTAATATATATATTAGGGCGCTTGGAATTAAAATGTAACAAGTAACTCTGATGATACATTTTTAAAGCATTTCGGTGCTAAAATATCCAATACTTCCAGAACTCCATCCACTTATAATTGCTCTGATACACCAGCGATTCACACTGTGTTATTTCCACATTGTGGGGAAAAAATGTTGTGTTACAGAAGCACCAGAGCAGCCTCACGGATCTCAGGGCAGTAAGTCAATCAATATTTTCAAAAGAGTACTTCACATTTGAAGTATCAGTTAAACGCCACACTCTCACACACACAAACACACACACGCACCGTTGATGCTAGAAAATCGCCCTAAAATTCACTTTATTGTCATTGAACTTTGGCAACAGTAGAGTGAGAAAATACTTTTCAATTAATTATTGGATTAATTTCTTGTCTTGAGTGCTCCAGGCTTTCTCCGTTACTCGTCTCTTGTTTCTTTTGCGTGCTGCCGACTTAAGACTCCATTGTCGTGAGTTTTAACGTAAGAACTTCTTAACTCGTTATTTATTTTCCGTTTCATATTTTAAATCCTGTAATCCTTGTTCAGCTCATGTCCGTCAACTGTTTGGTCAAATTAGACATTTCTGCAGCTTCTGAGAGGATTCTGTGGAAACACAGCCACACTGTGTCCACTTCAGGGACTCCTCAGTTTTGTGATAACTAATGTCATAAGGTCGACCTGAAGCTCTATAATGACATGAAGGCCTGTTGCTCCAAATAACACATGTCCACATGTTATTACGTTAGTGTGGACGTCCCACTGATCTAATACTCCTGGACTGGACCGGAGACCGTTTCCTGTCCACTCCGCGCCCGATTCCCAAAGTCATGCACTTGCTCCGATCACAACTGTGCTCTATAACGGCATGAAAAGAGGATTCTTTGTTGTAAGTGGAAAATTGTTGAAGAGGAATGTAGATGGAGCCTCTTCTGTCTCCACACAGAGCCTCACTGTGCTCCTCACCCGCTGCTCTCTCACACTGTCTGAGCACATTCTCTGCCCTGGGTGAGAGCAAACGCTGTCTGCAAGGAAAAAAAAAAAAACTACAGTGAGGGAGAGAGACGTGAAGACAGAAAAACACGCAAGCTTCTGCAACATGTTTCACGTTCCTCTGCGGTCAGCGTGTGTGCAGCCGCCACCGCCGACAGTCACTGTGTTTGTATCTCACATATTTATATTTTAATGACCTGTTTACATTTCAAACTCACTGACCTCAGCTGTTTTTACATATATATTTGTACATATATGTATGTACGTACATATATACAGATGAACATATAAATATACATATATATGTACATACATATCTGTACATATATATGAGTATATCTGTACATATATGTATATTTATATGTTCATCTGCAGCATTTAGCCTGTTGTTTGGGCGTCTCATGTCACATGACTACATCGTTTTTCGTCCTTTTTCCTCCAGCGTGTGAACATCAACCTGATGATTAGCTTCATTACTGATGTACATTTTTATACTGAACAATCATTATATGGAAAACAGGGGACATTATTGCCTGACCCCCGGTCTCCTGTCTCTGTCTCTGTGTCTCCTCCAAGGTGACTGTCGCCTTCTGAGAATGTTAGTCACTTCATTATTAAAAAACAAAAAAAGAACAACACTGTACTTTTAAGGATGAGGTTTTTCTATGGAGACCAGAACAGACGACACCGGCATTTAGACAGAGACAGACAGACGGATGGACAGATACATTTGGACAGTCCTCTCAAGATAAAGACAAACAGGTGGACGGTAGGGTTAAGACAATGACAGACAGACAGCTGGACAGTTTCCTAGAGACTCAAGCAGACGGCCAATCATGTACGCACTGACAGATGGACAGTTTCCTAGTCGGAGACACTGACACACGCACGTGTGCACCCACATTCACAGACTGTGACAGGACGCAGACAAGCAGACTGATAATATATACCGATGTGAGGAGGGACGGATGGACAAAAGCAGACGGGCAGAGACAGATGACAGGGCCATTAAACAGACAGGCCCAGAGAGAAATGAAGAATTACAGACTGAAAAAGACAAATGCAGACAGACAGACTGGCAGATTCAGGATCAGACTCACACGGATGGACGCGGCACAGACAGACAGACAGACAGACATGTTAGTCAGACTGACACTTATTAAAACTCTATCTCCTCTGTGAAAGTATAAATGGCGTCCAGCAGTATGTCTGTGCACACATGCACTGCTTTTCACACACACAAACACACACACACACCCGGGTGGACAATATTTATCAAGACATGAAAACAGCAGCAGGATGTTTTAGAGCCACGGTGAGAAATCTCTGGCCTCTCTGCAGACTCCTGTCTCTTCCTGTCAGGAGCTGACGCTGCCTTTCACAGCTCTTTACTGAAAACACACTGGTTTACATCACATTTCATCAAGTTACGATGGCTACGTCGCCATCGCTGCGTTAGAGATGGAGATGTTTTTTATTTATGTAGATATGATCAGAGAACATCCAGAGGGGATGTTTTTCATCCAGACTGTTTGTTTATAGCGCCGTGGAGACACTCATCTACACTGATCTTTAGCAGCTTAAACACACAAATCCCTCCTAAATAGAGACAAACAAAACACACTGATAAATATTTTATGTATACAGTATGTATTTTTGCACAATTTAAAAATGGTAAAAGATGCAGAGTCCAGATTCACTGCAGCTCCAAAATCATATATATATATATATATATATATATATATATATATATATATGTCGTATGTGTATATACAGTATACACATATATATGCATATATATTTATTCATATGTGTATGTATATGTATGTGTGTATATATTTAGCCATATATGTGTATATACAGTAAATATATGGCTATGTATATGAATATAGGTAAATATATATACATATATATATATTTACACAGTTACTTATTTTATTTTATTTTTTTAAATATGTGCAGTAGTGAGTAGGATGCCAATGTCAACATCGACCTATTGGCGTCACTGCAGTGCACAAATGAACTTTCGGGTCAACCAAAAATGTCAAGACCCCTCAGCCGAACAGACGTTTTCTTGTAGTTTTTGTTTTTTTATTTATTGTATGAAAAAAAAATGGCCAGCAAATTAGTAAAAAAAAACAGAAACAGCCACACTTAACCTGGCGCCACACAGTGGCACAGAGGCAATTGAAGATCCCTGCAGGTTCACACAGTTAAATATATCTGCATAGTTAGTACGTACTTTATGTATTCTGAGAGCACACCATCTTTTTCATTCTAAGAGCTGTGTATTCTTTTATACATGAGGCCGTGGTTCACTGTACTTATAGGTTATGTAACCGAAGAGAAAGTAATAATGTGTGTGTGTGTGTGTGTGAGAGACATTTTTTTACTATTTTAAGCAGCAAATGAATTCATATTTACAGTGCCACGGAGTAAGTGGGTCAGTGGGAGTGTGATGAACCGAGGTAACCTCTGTGGCTGTGCTAATGTAAAGTCATTTGGGATTTCGATGGTGGCTGAAATTAAAAAAAAATCTGTTTCCTCTTAAATCTTACACACACTTACAGTCATAGCTCTGGTTCCTGGACCAGTTTGGACCATGTTGATTATTAATGCCAAATATGAAGTGGTACAGAACCATAAAGGTCGGTGTTCAGCAGAAACCTGGATTAATTTCTGAGGAAATACTTTGTGTCTTAAACGAAGAACGAACAGAGAGAATTAAAATGAACATTGAAAAGTACTAATGGATGTTGAACAGTTTACCTGTAGTTATTCTACAGGCATCACTGACTTCACTTTACCTAATCAGATGAATCAGATATTCAGAGAAAGGTGTTTTGTGTGTGTGTGTGTGTGTGTGTGTGTTTTAGCCTTTGCCGAAAATACTACAAATTTTAACAGAACTGAACACGGACACTAAGATTTAAAAAAAATATTAATTTAGAATAAATACAGAGCTCTGGTTTTTTGACAGTACATTAAAGGCAACGTACTGTATCGCTGCATCTGTAGTTTTAAATATTCTACTGGCTTCTCTAAATTAGACCTGTCAACTACTAGTCCACCAGGGGGCGATTTTAGTGGTTGTGAAAGTAGCCTATAAAAATAAAAGCAAAAGTCGAGGAATCACAGCATTTTCTTGATTTAAAATTCAAGTAAATATAGGATTTTCTTTCCCGTAGTATCTAGTATTCTAATCTTCCTGTACTCGTGTTCAGTTGTCTAATTGGACACTGAGTTTGATTGACAGCTAACAGTGTCTTCCTTTATCGGTAAGGAATTACACACATCATGTTTTGTACAAACCATTTGCTGTGTTGCTGTTGTGTTACCGTTGTGCCTTTGGGCAACATTAGTTGACGCTGAAAACACAGACGGCTCAGAAGCCTGAACACTGTCGATGCTACGCTATAATTACACTAATCGATGTGATCTCTGATGTCTAATGATATGATTTTTCCATTTGTCTGTTACGTTAGTAATAGTTACACTCATCTTCCTCGGCCCAGCGCTCGGGGCACACTCTGTTGTTAGATTGAATGTGTTGTGTAATGAGCATCATTACCGTCAGTGGTTGAGCTCATTTTCTTGCTCAAGTTTGAAAGGGGAATAATTTGCAGCATGAAAACTGTATCTGTGAAAGTAAAGTCAATGGAGATACATAGGAATTGAAGAGAAATGTTACACTTTTTTTTTTTTTACCAACCTGAATTTTTGAGTTCCTAATCTCAACCCTGAGCAGAGAAGAATCTTTTTTTACAGATGATTCTGTAACTTCTTTTTTTAACCTAGAAAATGTCCTGTGTTGCATTTCCTCTAGAGGTTTGTTAACAGAAACATGTAAATCGTGGCCTAAATATTGAAGATCTATGTCTTAAAGTGTAGACCTTTGGGAAACACCAGTGAAAAAATGACCTTTTTGTGCAATACAACTTCATATTGTAAAGAGTTTTTTAAAATCTTTTATGTTGTTTAATTCATGCCAGAAAAAAAAAAGGTCAGAGTGAAAATATAGTATAGTACACAAGAAAGGCTGTTTTAAATGTCAACATGAAATAAAATGTCTAAACGTGTCAGGACGAGTCAGAACTTGTCGTAACATGAGATGCAAATTATAATAATAATAGTTTTACTCCTAGTAAATTTAAAAATATCAACAAACGATGCAAAAAACAAAAACGATGTCCAACACCAGGCTAACCTTTCTGTGCAGTACTGTGTAGAACTGTTAGCTTGTGGCTAGCGTCACCTCTTTACTGAGAGCCATAACTCTTCCATGCAGTGTTTCATTGTCTGTAAATGTTTCTGTTCCCAGGTGTCCCACCAGCCAGCGGGACGGGGACCCTTCAGATAATGCTGCTGGACATTAATGACAACGCCCCTCGTGTTTCTCCCCCGGAGGTGGAAATGTGTGAGAAGCCACACCCTAATGGCATCAACATCACAGCCAGTGACCCCGACCTGCCCCACAACGCCGGACCCTTCGTCTTCGAGCTCGCCTCCCGTCCATTGGACATACGCCGCAACTGGACACTCAATCGCTTCAATGGTGAGTGAGGCCTGAGGGGTGAGGCCTGAGGAGTGAGGGCTGAGGAGTGAAGCCTGAGGGGTGAGGCCTAAGGAGTGAGGGGTGAGGGGTGTGGAACGTGGACAACATAGTGGGGATTTAAAATTATTTTTTAAATGTTTCCTCTGGGTTTTGAAGTAATTCTAGATTTTTTTTTTCTTTTTATTATTCTATTTTTAACATTGCTACATCCCTGGCTTTTTTCAAGTTATGTCTTTATTTTTGCATTTTTTGTTTGTCTACAGTTACAGTATTAGGGCTGTAATGTTCTAAATTTAATTCTTTTTATGATTCTTTCTTTTCTTTCGTATAACTTTCTATCAACTACAGAATAAGTTTCCTGACTTTTGCCTTGGCTTGTCTGACCTCTGAAATCCGTCCAAAACTGGGACGCCAGCGTGAAATTACATTACCAGTTTAACACAAGCATTTGTTTTGCTTTAATGCCATTTGGTGGATACCGTGTGCAGACGGTCGACCCACAGGTCTAGATCTCAGAACAGTTTTTGTCTCCAGGTCTCCGCTAGTCTGACAGGGACATAAAATCCTGAGACAATTGTTTTAATATTATATTGTCCCCTTTTCCAGAGACAGAGAAACCACCGAGACTCAGACCGCCGTCAGAGATAATGAGCCCCTCAAACGTGTTATCAACTTGATGTTTTGACAGATTTGACACAGTGACCGTGATTCGCTTCCACAAAATGGACCAATCACAGTTCGTCCACTTTCATTTAGAAGGAAAATATTATCACAGGGAGAAGTTGGGCAAATGACAGGAGGGAAAAGAGTATATATTTACATATAAATACATATACATATATGTAAATATATGTATATATACAAACTATATACAGTACATACATATATACATATGTGTGTTAATTTATAAAGAATTTAATAAAGAATAAGTATTTGTTTCATTATGATGTATTCACTCATGACAACAACTGTCATGAGTGACTGAAATTATGATGTATTCACTCATGACAACAAACAGAGATCACAAATAGGCGGCCCGTGGTCTAGATGTGGATCAAGAATCAATGTCCTGTTTTAATCCAAACTGATTAAAAATTTCAAAATTTTCCATCTTGGTAATTCTCCAGGTTAAAAAAAAGGAACTCATGTCATGAACCATGATATTTTTTTTCCACCACTCCTGAAATATCACTTCAGAGGAAGACGACAAACATTAACACTGGCAGTCCTCCAACAGTTCCAGAGGTGACATCACATAATATCAGTGAAAACACGTTCCATTTTATTGCTGCAAATTATTACCTGCGAAATTACTGTTTGCTCATTTCCTTCAACCGCGACAGTAATGTTTGAAATGATTAATGGTGTTAATTTTACATTTATATGAATGTTTTCATATTTGCTGTCGGAGCCAAGTCTTGATTTCACTTTCATTTCTGTTCGGTTTTAAGACAGTTTAAAAAAAGAAAAAGTATTTCATGGAAGTTCTTTAGAATCTCTAACTTTGCCGGACACAAAACGTCCGACCGTGGGCAGTTCTGGAGCAGAACTCTGCTTTTCATGAACTGTACTGTAGCTGAGTGGAAGAGTATGAAACATTCTCAGAAGCCAAAGTGAAAACCTCACCTTTTCTCCATCTTTATCTTCCCGCCGTAGGTGAATATGCCCAGCTCCGGCTGCGGATCGGCTCCCTGGCCAGTGGGATCTACAAGATTCCCATCACAATCACAGACTCTGGAAACCTGCCCATGTCCAACCTGTCCTACCTGGAGGTGAAGGTCTGTCAGTGTGACCACCACGGAGACTGTGTGAGCATGGAGGGACTGGTTGTTCCTGGACTGGGCACTGGAGCCATCATTGCTATTCTCATCTGCATCATCATACTGTTGGGTGAGTCTCTGACCTGGTGGTGGACCAAGTCATGACATGACCCAGACCTGACCTCCTCATATCAGACCAAGCCACGTTAATGTGTTCTGAAGTTTTACAGTCAAATGATATATTTCCTCTGGGATTTTCCACAGGGCCCAGTACACATTCATACTCCTTTTACTCCATCTGTACACACCGTCGCCCAAGCACTGGTCCAGGATCAGTGAGGACTATTTCTCTTCTGTGCAGCCACAGAGGCATCAGAAGTCATTCAGTAACACAGTGTGGTTTGGTTTTCAGATGTTAGGGGCCAATCAGAAATCTGCAGACTCCAGCCCCGGTGGTCTGTGGTTGGGGGGTGGTTCGATGCCACAGTTACAGGGAGCTGGAAGGCTCTGACTGATGGCCAAACAATTACATCGATCTTCAACAAAGATTTCAGAAACGCTTACAAATAGAGTTACTTGTGTGGCATTCATACAGTATTGACTTAAATAGTGTTAGTTATTTTACTTTTTTTTTTATAAACCCACTTCTTGTGGTTCGCCTTTCTGAAAAACGACCCACAATTCATTTGACAGTTGGCTCAGAAAATGGCTCTTTGTGCTTAAATTAGTCAACATCATTAACAAATGATATGTTTTTAATAATTATGAAGGTAGAAATAGAATCAATGTTTATATATTCACTGGAAAAACAGAGTACAAAAAAATCTAAATGTAAGAAAAATAAAATAATAAAAAGATCAGAACTGAGTTTCCATACAGAAACTTTTTAGGCTGGACAATTTTATAGAAACAAATGTGAAGTAAACTATGTGTAAAAGCAACCAGCAACCATGTGATGCAGCGTCTTAATACATATGACATCAAACTCAACATTCATCAGTCACAACTGTGGAGCCTTAAATTGCTCTGCTGAAAAAAAACTGCATCTTATTTTGACTCTGGAGGAGGAGAAGAGAGAGAGAGATTGTGACTCATTGTTTCATCTCATGGATGCATTCTAATCAAATCATATCTATAATTAAAGAGAGACCAAAGATTAAATGTAACACTGGCCAAAATGATTTCCTAATTAGAGATCAAATGCTGCAACTCCTCTGTGCTGTGACTCTGGTTTATCAGTGCAGTGAGTGACAGGCTAATGACGACGACGTCCAGCCGTGGGAGCAGCAAGAAAGATTTAAAAAGAAAAAAAAAATGACAAACACAAAGAAATGTTGACTTTATCTGCGCACGTCTTGATCCATCACCTCGTGTAAAAATGTTCTCAACGCTGCTGCCTTTGGTTGGTTTAGAGATACAAAGCTGCATCTTTTTTTAATTGAACAATATCTGAATTAGTACTTGAATTGTTGCCATGGCAACATCACCCCCATCAGCATTAAAAACAAAACTGCGCCAGGACATATTATTCCAGAGAATTATCCATTTTATCTGTTATGACTCAGATCCACATGACTGTTGGTTATAAAACAGAGGCAGCAGAAATGTGAAGCTGAAAGAAGCGTGCTCAAAAGCACTTGTCCAATAATGATCAAGGTCTGTGGACAACAGATGCTTCGAGTGTTAGTAACTAGTAAGTTGAGGTTTTTTTTTAGGCTTTACTATTTACTTAATGGCTGGACTATGGACACTATAATTAATCACGATTCATCCTGATTATTTTCAATTAAACACACGACCTGTTTTGTAGTCTTTACTATGATTCAGTATTTCAAAAACTCGAACATAACACGATCAATCACAATTAATCATGATTAATCTCTTTCTACCCATGCTAACCGGTTAGCCATACACACATTTTGTCTCAATGAATTTACATGAAAAATATCCTTAGAAATATGTAACATTTTTTAAAATAAAAAATAAAAATGCACTAAATTAAAATGCATCATATTTATATGATTATGACTTTTGATCCAACAGACAGTGTATAAATAAAGTCAACGCTGCTCTGAAAAGCTCCCCTATTTTTTTTTTTTTTTTTTGTTTGTTTGTTTTGGTCGGTAAAAGCCACACCGTGAGACCAGCTTGAATGTCACTAATGAACTTTTTTTTTTTACACAGCAGCCTTTCAGAGGCAGCTGATGCGTTCACTGACCAAGGTCAGGGTCTGTTATCTGCTCATATGAAGCTCTCTCTTTTCCCCCAAAGTGCTTCACAGAGAAAATGAAAGAGGACACAAAGATATAAAGGTATCAGAAAAACAAAAGAGCAGGAAACCCACACAGATTAAAGGGATGCTGCAGCCGGGGGGCGAGGGATGCATTTTCAACTCAGAGTTGTCACTAATGAACTGGGAGCCTAGCCTGTGAGGGAGCCTAGCCAAAATATATCAAAAAGAAACTTTGTCAATTTGCAAAAAAATAAAAAAATAAAAAAAAATTTTTTGAAGGAAAAAAAGAAGAAATGAGAAATTGCACGTCACAAAGAAAATTTCTGTCCAATTGAAACCACCTTATATTTCATTATCTATTCTGCTGTCATATCATCTTTGTTCACTGTGTCCTGTTTATTGATGCAATTGACAATTTCCCCCTAGTGGACAATGGAGTTCATGACTCGACCTGTGACACATCCGTCAGCCGCGCCTCTCCAGTTGAACTGACCGACGGCGGTGTTTTCCTCAGTCTAAGAGTGAGGATGTCAAACGCTGTCCTTATCTTGTCCTCCTTGTTCTGCAGTTCTGGTGCTGATGTTTGTGATGTGGATGAAGAGGAGAGATAAGGAGCGTCAGGCCAAACAGCTGCTCATTGACCCAGAGGACGACGTGAGAGACAACATCCTCAAATATGACGAGGAGGGAGGAGGAGAGACAACATCCTTACACACACACACACACACGCACACACATGCACACACGCAAACAGATTGTGAAATGTTAACGAGAGGCTAATATTTAAAATGTTAAAGTTTTTTTAAGATTTTACTTTTCTCTTCGTGGGCCATAAACAGTCTTATTTCAGTCTGGTTGTCACGGTAAACCTGTAGCTCTGACCTTCCACTTGACCCCAACTTCCCAGAAACAAAAATCCACTCCGTTTCTTCAAACAAACACAGAACATGCTCTAATGACCTGACGCACTTCCTGTTTCTTGGCACTCGTTTTTCTTCTGTCCTTCAGCTCAGACTGAAGTGTTCGAGACCTGACCTTAAGGCGGGATGAAATCATTTCTAACAGAAACTCTTTTCCTTCACTGCCAGTGTCTGACACACAACCTGCTCCACAACTCAGGTTAGAAAAGTGTTGCCTTCAATTTACAGCCCAGCTGGACGAGAAGCAGCTTTTTTTACTGTGGATTCACTGACGCAGCAGTGAAAGCTCTAGTCTCACTCTTATCTCCCCCTCACACCCCCACGGCTTTAACGTCCCCCCTAAACCTTTACCTGGACTTTATTGGAGTATCGGTAGAGTACCGAAAACACAAAGGAGGAACACACACACACACACGTACATATATATACACACATACTGTATATACACACACATATGTACATAAATATACAAATGTATGTACATATACCTATATATTTTTACAATTTGAACAGGTCTATAGCGCTAAGCTAACACAACAGGCTGCAGTTTGTCTCTGGACGACTCCCACAAACTCAGCTTCGGACTGAGACAGAAATAGTTCCAGTGCCTTCTTTTGTAAGAGCTGTCAATGTGAAGTAGTTCCGCTCCTGGAACAGTCATCGTGCAGAAGCCTGGCTTCAATCACCGACTCCAGATATAGTCTGGCTTTGTGTAAATGACCATTTTAGAGGCGTTTATCTAAACGGTGTCTATCCTCCACAGGCTGAGCGTCAACAGGGTTTAATACCTGATCGTATGAGAACAAAAATATCTGATTCACTCAGGTCCATTCATTCTGCCAACTGAAGCAATTGTCCATAATTGTCTAAATGGAAATGTATTCTCACAAGAGCTTTATTGGAGCTGTGGTCAACATTGGTACTACGGGGGTTTTAAATTTACACCTAAAAATGAATTCTTATTCTTCACATTAAAAACAGAACTACACCTTTACTGTACCAGTCACTCTCAGGGCTCTTGTTGCATTAAGCGACGGCATGAATTTGTTTTTATTATTATTATTATTTTACGGGAACTTGACTTTTTTATAAAAAGGCCACTTTGGTCTGAAGTGTAAATAATGAAAAGAGAAAATGTTTCTTTCTCTCCGTGTTGTTTACATCACTGTGACACACAGCCCGGCCTTGGACTGAATAAAAGATCCATTCAGTTGGAGTGGACGTTAAAGGGACAGGTTGGGGTTTTCAAGTCAGACTTTACACATGCACATGTTCTCATTAAAATGCAGCTGCCAGAAAGGAAACCAGGTTTGTGTCCTGCTGAGGTCCAGGTTAGATCAGGCATCGGTTTATTCTTTTCTTTTTCTTGGATGGGAGTCGTGTTGGTTTTTCTTTTTATCACTGCATAAAAATCCATACACAGAATAATGGAATGGTCTGCTGGTCTGAATTCTTTCTCCATTTCTCCATCCTCCCCTCTTTGGTGAGCTCAGAAATGTTTTGTGATTAAGTGGTACTTTTCTTTTACGTTCTATTTATTGGTGCCTTTCAGAACAACCAAGGTCACGTCACAGTGAAGTGCAGCAAAGAAGACAGAGAAAAGACAGCAAAATAAATAAGCATTTGTTTTTGTGTTGCCAGTTTAAAATTATGTTTAGACAACATTTGAAAAACAGAAGAACTGAGAAGTCAGTGTTAGTGATGGATCTCCAGAGATGGGGCGGGGGCTTCAGGGCTGAAGGCCTGAGACCTCTCCACCCCCCTTGTTGGACAAAGCTGCTTGTTAGAGGAAAGAAAAAGAACCCTGATGTGCAGGAGTCCAGAGAGGGACTGAGGAGGAAGGCTGTACATCTTAACAGCAGAGTTTAAAAAAATAAAACAATTGTGAATTCAGACTGGAAGCCATGGAGCTGCTGAGGAATCAGAGTAACAGTAGTATGAAGGGCAGTGGTGGCTTAGTGGTTTGGTCCCGAAGGTTTCAGGTTCGAGTCCACCAGAGGCCAGGTTACCACTGAGGTGCTCTGAGCATGGCACCGTCCCCACACACTGCTCCCTGGGCGCATACTTTGGACTTTGGTGATGGGTTAAAATCAGAGGTCCAGTTGTGTTTGCAGTAGTGTGCTGTGTCACAATGACACTTTGAACATTGGTTCAAGTGATGGTACCGAGAACAGAGGTCTGAACCAGAGGTTTATGAAAACCAAAATAAAGGAACCTTAAAATCAAGATGTGCAAACAGTTCTAAAAACCAGTATATATAGATGTTATGGAAA